TTTTTTTCTGCCTTTGGTAAAAGTCGCTGTACTTTTTTCTTTTCTCTTGAAGCTTACACGTTGTTTTCAGATTCTTCGAATTGGTTTTTATGAGATTGTCAAGCTCGAAATGCCCCCATATGCAGTTGTGGATGAGGTAAGTGGATGGATAAAATTCTGTAAGTGGAATTTCTTGTTATCGGCAACTTTTACTGCACAAGTTATCGTGAAGGTGCTTACCTGGAAAGTTCCAGTTCAACAAATAATTTGTAAGTTGACGTTTTCTTAATTGATTGATACACCCATGATCGTGTTTACTATATTAAGTGATATTACGCGACTACTTCTGGTTAACTATATATTAAGTGATATTACATGACTACTTCTGGTTAATTATCTCAATGTTCATTCGTCATTTTGTCTCTGGTCCTTCGGTTTCCTCTGATTTTTCTTTTTCTCCAGCCTTTATAACTACATTGGTAAATTGTTGGTTTACGGTGATGCTTGAACTTCTTTCTTATTTATATTTTTTTTACTTGGGTATGGCAGAATGTAAAGCTTGCAAAGGCTGCATTAAGACTTGGTGCTGGTAATATGGTTAATGCGCTTTTGAGGAAGCTGGTGTTACTTAAGGTCAATCATTTTCTGTTTATTACGCTCCACTGTTAACTTTTAGCCATGACACTACTGTTTTTTCTTTATTTCTGAGTGTCTACAGGAAAAGAACTCACTCCCGTCACCAAAAGTGGATGGCAATGACAGACAGCAAGCACGTTCTCTAGCCATCATCCATTCTCATCCTGTTGTGAGATTTTTGTCACCTTTGCCTTCATTTTCTGATTATACCTCTGTTGATCCCTTTTGCTGTTCTTTCGCTCTTTCTGGACAAGTTTCCTCTTTTTTTTTTGGTCTTGCGAGGTAAGTTTCAGTTTGAGTTCAAGTACCACTTCAATATGAAAATGTGAGTGCTAAGGGTGTGCTTGTATACAAATATATCCGCTCAAAACGAGTTTTTTTGGTTAACCATGATTAATATTAAAAAATGTGGTATTCTTAGTTGTTAATGAGATTTTGAGTTTATATTAAAATCATATTGAAAATAAAACAAATAAAGTTGATTTGATGTAAAAGCATGTGAGAGATGATGTGAAGTGATGGTTAGTTAAAATTATGTTAGTGGATGAATAGTGAATTAAAGTTGATGTGATGCGTAAGAATAATTGGTTGATATTATTTAATTTATATTAATAATATTGGGGATAGTAGGGTTGAGTTAGAGTTAATTAGATTTTGAATATGGATTGGGTTATTTTATAAGCAATCTGACTAGGAATAAGGATTAGAATTTTATCTGTTTTGTTTTTATATGATTACAAAATTTTAAATTTTTTATTTTTTTAAATTTTCATTACTTGTTTATTAGTGGATGGTGAGACGATGGACTAGATACTTTGGTCTTGAAGAAGCTATTAAGTTAATGATGTGGAATAATGCTGATCCTTGTTTCAGCCTCAGGTTTCTTTTGTTTTTGAACATTTTGTTATTAAAAACAGAGGTACATTGTTGCTCATCATCTCTTGTAATGTTTCAGAGCAAATACAGCTACAGGATTCACACGGGCTGATCTAGTTACGGAACTTGAGAAACTGAAGGTTGTCACTTCTTTTAGCTCTCTCTCTCTCTCTCTCTCTCTCTCTCTCTCTCTCTCTCTCTCTCTCTCTCTCTCTCTCACACGTGCATACAAGCAACTGCAAAAAAAGGCTCACTTCTCGAGCATGCTTATGATATATTGTTGTTGCGGATAATAATTTCTGAGATCCTGAGAAGTATGACACAACATTTACATGTTAAATGAGACTATTTGTATTTTACTCTAGGTCTTTTATATCTTAGTATAACTTGCAAGATAAATGGGTGGTACATTATCAATTCAGTCTTCACATTCTTGTTTTTTTTTTTGGTCAACCTTAGGTTCCATATGAACTTTCTCAGCACTTGGACGATTTTGTCCGGATCAGAACTGGAATGCAGGTTCATGACTTTTTTCTCCATTTACAGGCAACATTGAACTTTCATTTTCCATTGTCTTTAGTAGTAAGTAGTAGAATTTTAGCGAGCTATTTTCAAATAGTAAGAATGTTGTAAATAATAGCAGCATAATATATCTTCATCTCCTTGGATGTGATATTAATAATACAGGCTGAATTGGTGCATGCCTTCCGTTAATGTGGCATAAATATATTTCCGTGTTTAATTGATCGGTGACCCCTAGAGGAACTAGAAACTATAATGTTCGTGCAGAAGGACAAAAAGAAAAAGAAAACCATTTTATGATTGTGGTTATTGCAAGATTCTGATAATACCTATTTAATGTTTGTTTGACTTACGACCTTTGGTCATTCCAAATTTATTTTTGTTTCAGGCTGTCATACAGGCTGGATTACTCAGAAAAGGTTTTTGTTCTGTCCAGGATGAAAGTGCGGGTAATATCTTGTCATGTAACTTCTACGGATTGTTATTTCATTTGGGTCGGTTGAAAAAGTGTGTACCTCCTGAAATCTTTTTGTTCCCTCAGAAAATCTTTTCTCCATTTAAAACACATTGCACAGTACTCCCTGAATCGGTCAATTTTGAAGACATTCTCAATATATATTTATATGATTTAAGTCTGATATCCTAATAATGTTGGAACTATTTGTGGACCTCAACTATTTTGTGGTGCAGGAATGGTGGTTAAGGTTGTGGATCCAAAGCCTGGGGACAATGTTATCGACTGTTGTGCAGCACCAGGAGGAAAGACTCTTTTCATGGCTTCACTTATGAATGGCCAAGGTATATTTGTGCCGGATGTTAAACCAGTTACACGAGTGAGCTTCATTAAATAGTTAAAAGAAGTGTCCATTTTGTGAATTCCGCTGTTTCTTATTTTATGTACTCCAATACTCCTGGAGTAAATCATCAAGCCTGTACTTCATTTTTTTTTTTTTTTTTTTCAATTAAATATGATAACACTTATCCCTGTTTATGATGTGTTGGAGAAAAAACGGATTACTTTAGATAATCAAGGTTTTTAATCATTATTTATTTAAGAGTACAAATACAACTTAAGTCAGGGTCAGGCCACAAAGATCTTTGTATTTCAAATTTTCAACGGTGTTGTTAGAGAGTAATAAGTGATAAATTCCGTATTATTATCAGGCTGCATATGTGCAATCGACATAAACGAAGGCCGACTGAGAATCCTCAACGAGGCTGTCAAGCTGCAGCAAGTCAATGATGTTATCACGACTATCCATGCTGATCTCCGTGAATTTGTGAGGAACTGTCATACTCTAATAGAATTATTTTAAATAACAAATATAACTCAATAATATTCACCCTTGCTTAACTAACCAGGACAATAATGGTAAGAAAGCTGATAAAGTGTTGCTGGATGCTCCTTGCTCCGGATTGGGTGTTCTGTCAAAGGTACAGGTGGCAAAGAGTGTTTAATATCGGCACCCTGTCATAAATGAAATTTTATTTTATTGAAGGAATTCAATTGCTGCATTTGTTTATATCAATTTAAAATTCTTGTTCTGTATTTTTTTTTTTTTTTTCTTTTTTGGTTCCTAACTTGAAATTTTAGTCTTCATCTTTATGAGTGCAGAGGGCAGATTTACGCTGGAATAGGAAAGCGGAAGACATGGAACAACTTAAAAATTTGCAAGATGTGCTTCTTGATTCAGCTTCCACGTATGTAAAGCAGTCTGTGTGTCTGTGTTTTTTCTTTACGATAGGTGAAAACTGATAAATAGTTGTAACAAATGAGCCTCTGTGCAACTATTTGCTTGAAATGAGATTTTATAGTGCTTTTTGCACACAAGCCATGACAAAAAAATATATTGCATCCTCCAGCGTAAATGAGATTCACTAAATTCAGTTTTGGAGTATATATTTTTTAATACTACTCTTCTATTACGTACGGTAATTATTTGCTTTATGCCTGACAGTTTGGTAAGGCCAGGCGGGGTACTGATATACAGCACCTGTTCGATTGATCCCGAGGAGAATGAGGAAAGAATAGCCGCTTTTCTTCTGAGAAATCCAGTAGTTACCTCACTGTTTCTTAGCTATTTACACTTTTATACGAATAGTGGTCCCTTTTACTTGTGTCAAAATACACTTTGTGCTATTTCTTACTCACACACCTCACTTTCTATCTTTATTCACTACACCTGCCTCGTAATCTTTGTACTTTTTCTTTCAGCTGTACAATATTATTAAAAATTTGCATGACGATCACGCTTGCAGGAATTCCAAATAGATCATGCAAATAAATACATACCATCCGATTTTGTTACGGAAGATGGTTTCTTTTTCTCTAATCCCGTCAAACACTCGATTGATGGAGCCTTTGCAGCTCGGCTTTTAAGATCTTGCTGACCAATAACAGGTAAGTCACTATTCCATTTCTTGTATGCTATACAAGGTAAACATCAGTACAATTATACAAATGTCTTTTTGTTAAATTCAGACTATCATTTGAGATATTTTTCTTTTCATAAAAGTTCTGTAAAGTCGACGATGTTGTTTCTCTAGGACTGAAAGTAGTAGAAGTCCCTCAAGCGCTCGTGTGATTTCTTTCCTGGCCTGTAGGGGACGGGCAATATTCGGTCATTTTATGTTTTTAACAAAGAAAGCTCGACTAAAGGGTGCTTGTTTAAAAAGTGGAAACTCGGGGTTTTATCATTGGACAAAACCCGAATTATATTGCTTGGAAAAGCCAGGAGCTTTTGGATCCGAGTCTTTATATGGAGCTTGTCTGTGTAATATCTTGAGACGGGGGAAAGTTTTGGTGTTGTTTTATGATCTGCATTGTATACCATGTTCATGTTCAACTAAAGCCACTCAGAACTGTCAATTGTATTGTCTTTCTGAGTTTATATTATTCTCCATTGTTCTTAAGAAGCTGCTATTGGGCCCCTACGCTCTCTATTAACCAGTGCTTTCAGTTTTTATGATTTTGTGTTAATTTCTTATTTGGGAATTCTGCAGTTTTATATCATTGTGTCAAATGTCCTTTTATATCATTCAATATTTCGTCTGTTAATCATTTTTGTTAACAACGCAACGGCTGCTGTCGAACCGATGTCCGAGGACCTGCTGCCGCCGAATAATATCATAAATCAGGAAAAATATTTGAAAATATGGAATAAATGACTTCAAATTTTGAACTCTTATGAGCTCAAAACAACAAATTATTTAATGGGTATTTCTTCCCGTTGAAAGAGAAACAAAATGTGAGTTCACCCATCAAATTTGGACAACCGAGTTGCGGGAATCGTCGGTTGAAACAATCATCTTGCCATAGTATGCAACAGAAACTAAAAAACTTCATGGTGGTGTCCTGACTATCGGGAGGTCTGATCGACTACCATAAGATGACATTGAATTCTTGTGCAAAGAACTTTCTATACATATGTGGTTCACGGAAAATCAACGGTCGCATCTCCCTTGACATTCCGACAATTTAATGTGCATTTCTTTGATTTTATCGAAACTTTAACAATGATTTAATAAAGTTTGAAGTATCGTATGATGTAATAAACATGTTTAAAAGATTGAGTCGAGAGGTTGAATAATATATAATTTGTTGAAATCCACCATTAATAGACGAGCGTTAATGAATGCTTGAAATATAAACGTAGATATAATTATTTTTTATTTTATATATGCAATATGAATGTCTGAAATCGTGGAAATATATTAATTTAATATAATATATAGAATAACAAATACAAAAGTTATCAAGTTTTAAAACATATCTATAATTCAAATTAGTCCGAGTGTTATATTGTTAAAACTTTTATAAAACTACAAACATGCATGAACTATGAAAAATAAATACAAAAATGTTACATAATACATAAGGAACCTCGACCGGCTGGGTTCGACTTGATCTGTCTTCCTCGTCGGTGGATGACCTTAGAAACAACAAAAACTCAACATTGGAGGAATTTTTCGGTGAAGAGTCTCTGATACTTAAGTTAGAGATATGTAGGAGATGATGAACAGTGTAATTTTTGTAGTCCAAGTGTCAAGAGAAATAACTAACCTACCATACCCTTACCCTTTTATATAGGGATATGGTATCTTGTTCACCAAGTTTGCCCGGAGAGTTGACCTAGCTGTTCAGGCTGCCCGTCTGTACGACTTGCATTGCCGCAGGCGCCATACTTTGTCATATGGTCAGACAGGCCAATCCTACTGTGACACGTGGTTCAATCCCTAAACAACACTACTCCCGTATTAGATACCTTTTTGTCCGTCTTCTTTATCAGACGATGTAATCATGAGGTCAACTCCACTCATCAAGTAGAACACTTTATCCACATGGTTCATCCACTAAATACAGAGGTCGATGGTTCGACCAAATCCTCGACAAGTCGAGGTTCCTTCAGGCCATCCAAATGCCTTAGGTCGACTTGTATCTCGTACCTTCATTGTGCCTCTGTCGACCTGAATGTCCTTCATTCAACTTCCAGCTCCATTGGTTACGGTATGATTTTATCGGTTGGTAGATTTAATGGGTCTAGCTAACACGGTATGATATCCCATATCACATACCATACCAGAGGATGAGTACGCATAGAATTACGTAACATAATATTTAGATAGGAAGGGATTTCACTAGACATAATATCCAAACACAGGTTTTCGTTTCACTTTGCTCTCGCATCTACATTCATTTAGCAAGTCTGATTCATTCCAACTACAACATTGTTACTTTTTTCCTGAAATTCATATCATTTCGCTCTCACATCTCTCTATATTTACTTACCGAGTTGCAATCTGAAAATACCGAATATGTAATGAGGACGGCTTTACGTTGCACCCAGAGATATAAACATATGATTTCTCATTTATGCCAGGCAATAATGAAGACGCAGGACAACAGGTAGAACTCTAAGTTATAGTGCTGAGAATTCTTTTGACATACTTTGTAACTTGTTTAATGCGTTCAAGAACCCATCACCCAAAATAGTTTGTAAAGAAACATGAAGACAAAAGGGAACCACACATTATTGAGCAATTTCTATGATCTTATCAAAGCAACGGAACATAAAGATACCCTTTACAAGTTCCGTTGTAATTTTCTCTGTTAGTTGAAAATGAAATCTTAATGTCAAAACTTGACAGCAAGAAAATTCCGGAAACCGAGCTTCCATTATTACAACTTGCATGCAAGTACTATAAATAACACTATAGGAACATAACACATTTGAATCTAATGAATATCCCAAGCATCTTGTTATATAAGTATATTCCATATTGTCCTCTCTAGTCACCTACTCTAACAAACAATAGCTTTTGTGGAACAACCAGAAGAAAATTGAACTACGGTCATGGTGAAAATGAGAAAATCAAATTCTCTAAGGTGTAGCCAATAATTAAACACCAAAAAATCCAGTATGGTGATTGCGACGCACAACAAATTCAACTCACGCAGCCACCTGCTTCTGCTGCAGCTTGCGAGGAAGCAGAACTGAACAAAGGAAATTAGGCAATTTATCGTTGGTTAAGAAAAATCAAGTTCTCTTACAAATATATTGTTTTTATTCAAATTTTACCTTCCTCCATAGAGCAAAAGCTTTCAGCAGGAAAGATCCTATCAGGATCCTTTAGCTGTTGCAAGGGTAAAAGCAGAGCAACGGAGCTTTTACTGCAGAAAGAACAAAATATCCAACCGATTTTAATTTCACAAATAAAAAATTGAAGGCTGAAAAATCTTGGATACACGCGCGCGCGCGCACACACACACACAGAGAGAGAGAAAGAGAGAGTGAACAGTAATTAATCATATTGCTTTTCTCGTATCATTAAGCAAAAAAAAAAAAAGCAGTAGCAACATCACCAGTTACAGCATAGGTCTTATATGTTAAGTATACTCTATAGTGATGGACGTAACAAAAAGCCAACCAAAATGAGGAAGGATCCAAAGCGCATATGAAATAAATTCAGCTCACTGTATATTTATTTGGCATCACATTAACACAGAAGTCTGCCTATAAACATATGAAAACAATTCCTTGTTTGCATCTCTTATTGCAGTATGAGAAAGCAAGAAAATATGAATTTCTCTATCATTTTAAGAGATTCAGGTCAACAAATATATTTAACATCGATTACGATATCCAGTTATATCAATTTACACTACCCCTTCAAAGTATTGCAAACCACCAGAAGCAGAACTAGTAGCTGCTTATTGCTTTATAGATGCAATTTGTAAACTAGAAACGTATTATCTAGGGGTTATTTGTAATTTTCAAAAATAATTCTCCGAGAATAATTTGTTGTTGAAACAATTGGATTGAAGCTTAATGATACTTCCCACAATTAACTCTAATGTTTATAGATTCACAAGTACACAGTATACATCAGGCAATCATCATGAACTAGGAGAGTGGGACAAAAGAGAAAAAAGCTACTACATGTACCCTTGGATGATAGCCTCAATTCATAATCTTCGTCTTGGCTGAACTAGGGTTCAAATTGCTCTGACATATTCATTAGATCAACTTTGCTTTCCTTGTCCCCATCGAACAGCAAAGCAAATCAATTCTTTCACTAGTTTTAAGAGAATTTTTTACCTTATAAAATATCTTCATATTACGTAAACAAGTGAAACTTTTTCTTGAGCAACTTTTCAGTAAGGAAATAAGTATCACCTAGCCCATGATGGAATAGATTTCTTGGTGGGTAAATCTCTTCATATTACTTAAACAAGTGAAACTGTTTCATGAACACCTTTTCAGTAAAGAATTAAGTATCACCTGGCCCATGATGGAATAGATTTCTTGGTGGGTAACTCTTCATCTTCTTCATCTTCATCATCAGAGCATTGGTATGGAGAGATCTCATATGATTTTCCTTGACAATTATTAAAAATCAAGTCCTCTTTCCTGGGTGATTTATCCACAGCATGCACAGCCTACAAAAAATTAAAGCAACAATTAGAGTGTGCAAAATAAAATTCCTATGTGAAGTTACTGCTGGTAAAGCATAATATTTCACTTTCATATATTGATGTCAGATTGCAGATTTCAATCTTTAACAATAAATGGAAATACACTCAGAATGAAGCATGCTACAATAAAATCAAATTGAATCTGAAGTCACCAAATCTCCGACCTTTCCAACGTCACAAGACTGACCAGAAGTACCACATTCTTCGGAAGTCATCAAGATTTCGGTGACATTCAATTTTGTGTCTGCTTTTCTCAAAGCAACATCATCTCCTCTAACGACTTTCATTGACTCATGAAGAGATTCCTTCTTGCTATTATTCATTTGCTCATCCTACAAATTGCGAAATACATGAAAGTTCATTAACAGCCAGGAAAAAATGGAAAAAAAAAATTACAATTGAACTTGTCATAACAAGATTTACAACCTTGGACAACTGATTTGCCTTTTCAGCTTTGCTTGCTGTCAGTTTTTCTACTTGCACCCTTTGCCGATATCTCGCTTCATGTCGCGTTCTTTTCTTCTCCTTCTCCTTTTTATATTCTTCCTCTCTCTGCCTCTTCTTTGCAAGAATAGCAGCATCTTTCTTCTGGAGTTCCTCCTCTTTCTTTTTCTTCATCAGTTCCAACTGTCTCATATTCTTTTCCTCCAGCTTCACTCTTTCAAGTTTCAAAGCCTCCTTCCTCTTCTTGCGTTCATTCTCCTTCTTCTCTTCTACACGTTTAGCCGCCTCAGCTGCCTTTAGAGCCCTCACCTTGACGTCTCTTTTTCCTACAAGATTTCATGGAAAGGTTGTATAATTTGGAGATTCCAAATCATTTAATTACTAAATTTGTTTCTAGCTTTGGTATCAAATTGTCATGGACACATAAGGTTTTCATAATTTTTCACATCTATCATACGCATAAGGGAGATGCAATTATTCTATGATCACTTATTATGTACTCTCTCTCTCTCTCTCTCTCTCTCTCTCTCTCTCTCTCTCTCTCTCTCTCTCTCTCTCTCTCTCTCCCACTGTGGATAAGTACTTCTTATCTTAAACTCGAGCCATACTTTACAAATTCAAGTTTATAAATCTACCTATAGAACAACATTGCTGCCTCATAAGAACTCCTTGTTGGCTGATATGATGCATGGAAAATAAAATAAACATAAGAAATGGATGATGGAGTGCTACATGCATGCATGCACTAATCTCTTCTTTGCAAAGAACCTGAATCACTTCTTTCGCTTTTCAGCTTCTCAATTTTGAAGTTTCTATAGAGGGGTTCAGTATTTTATTATTTTGTAGATGGCTCTTCCCGCATAACATGGTTATATTTGCTTAAACGTACAATGAATTTCCTGATGTTTTGGATTCAATTTACTTTGAAATAAAAACTTACTTCGGGAGTGTGTAATTAACTCCTTTCATCATCTTCTAATTAGGTTGTTGATGCACTCACTAAATTGTTGAGAGGAAGACGGTTTTCTGAATCATGTGACAAGCTGGAAGAGATAAATATATCACAAGCATCATTTTTACATGCATACTGAGTTTGAGTGATTATACGGTATGTTTGATCGAGTTTTACTGTCGGAATTTGCACATTTTATTATGATTGATTAAACTACGATGGAAGGGTTCATGTCATTAGTTCTTATAGGAAATATGCCCTAGAACATTATAAATTGATTCAAGACAAAAAACATCGAGAATCAAGGTGCATAAATGCCACACGAGTCGTGTGGAGAGGAGAGCTCGAGGTCCCAACTCTCTAAAGAATTACAACAGTCCTGTGGCCGCGCACATGAGTCTCACGAGTCATGTGACGAAGCTTCACAATTCGTGGATTGTGGATTTTTTGCAAAATTTATTTCCTTTTTTTGATGGAGATTCTACATACACGATATAAGGAACTTCAGAGGATGCTTGGATATAAAAAGTTTTGGTTTTGTTTTTATTTTTTGGATTTGAAAAAGTTGGTATGGTTAGTTGTTAGTGAGTATAATAAAATTAATATTATTAAGATAATTAAAATTTAATTGATGTAAAAGTAGGAGAAAGAAGATGTGATGTGATGGTTAGTTAAATTATGTGAGTTAGATGAATAATGAATTAAGGTTAATATGGTGTGCAAGAATGATTGATTGATATTATTTAATTATATTGATAATTGATAATATTGATGATAGTGGGGTTGAGTTAAAGTTGAGTTAAAAAAGTGGTTGAGTTAAATATGTTTGGATTTCTTTGGGATGTTTTGTATCCAAGCATCCTCTTAGGGACTCGTCCTATGACACTTTTCGAGGCTAGGAACAAACATAAGACGAGCAAGAAGACCAAAAGAAGTGATCGAAGAAGTCGAATAAGCTTTTCCTTTCTTTTTCTTCTTTTCGAGCAATAACAGTGTTATCAATGGCGGCCATGGCGGTGAATGGTGGGACGGTGTGGCGGTTTTTGACAATCCGCCATGTGCAATTTGTGAAGGATGGCAGTCATGGCGGTGTCATAGGCCACCACGGCGGCCGCTATGGCGGAATTTTGACAAACCGCCATGTAACGCCATCCGCCATTAATAACAATGAACAAGAATACGACATTACTTGCCACTAACTCTATGTTGTACACTTGCGGACAACGCAAATAATGGCGGATGGCATTCGCCACTAACTCTTATGTTGTACACTTGCAGACAACGCAAAAAATTAGAAAACAAGATATATATATATATATATATATATATATATATATATATATATTTATATTTATTAAATACCTATCTTTATTTAGGTAGACGAGAATCATTTTTGCATAGTTAAGGAGATATATGATATGCTAGGAAGATATGTAATCTAGTGTCTTCTCCCTCTAAATACATTCAATTATACATGTAAATTATTCCCTCTTCATATTACCAGCAGAATGTCTTCTTGTAGGGTAACCAAAATGATGGGAAGTAAAAAAGGTAAAGAAGAAGATTCTGGAAGTACTAAAAAATTTCAATTTTTTGATGGAGTCATACAACAATTAAAACCAAACCAAAGTAGATAAAGACGAAACACACTCATAAATGTGAAATCCAAGCAGAAGTAGAAAACCTATTCAGGGTGAAAAATACAACAAAAATCGAACAAAGGCAATGACCTTGTTCTTACGAATGTTTTGGAATGCCACAAAGAAATAGAGCTCATTAGTAGGTTTCAAACATGAACAATCTTTTGACTAAGGCACATATAAAATTCACATTATTTAGCAAGCACGACAAGAAAAGGTAGTTACCAGGGCATGCAGTTGCTGCTTGTTTTTGTTGTAATAGTGGTATGAAGGAACTAACATTTGAAATGATGTTATTCCTCTTAGACTCTTCTAAAGACAGTTTTTTATCCTGTCCTTTCAAACTGGATTTGATTGATATCAATGGTTTGTTGATGCTGTCACTAAATGTTTCTTTGGCCTTGATGCTGTTAGTATCTTGAAATGAAGGATGGTTTTTCCTACCATCATTGGCCCCAATAGACGAAGTCTGTTTCTTCCTGGTCACACTACTATTGACGTGTTGATTTCTTCGACCAGACTGCGCCTTATCTTGTGTCCCGACAACACTCAATTTTGTTCCCAGGGAATTCACGCTATCTGCCATCAGAATTTTCTCGTGTGCAGAAACTGATGCTGGAGAATTCAAACCCAGATTTGAAAGGTTCTTAAGTGGTTGTCTATTATCACGGTGCTTAGCCACTAATGAATCAACTTCATGGACATCGAATGCATTCTCATCCATAGTCTTATTCTCATCGCTAATACTGGCATCTTCCTCAATAGGGAAGCATGTTAGTTCTGAATTTGAACTTAAACGCTTCTCTGAGCTCCCAGTATGAAATGAGAGTCTTTCCCATTGCTTTCCAACAGGAGATGTATGTTGGCCTCGTAAACTCCAACCATAATGTGCACTAGAATAGGGTAGATAATCAGAATATGGCATCCCTTCAAGGGCCTCCTTGCAATCAACTACGCACCTCCTCCTAGACTGGAGCTGTTCACCAACATCAGAGGGCAAACTACTGGCAAGCTCTAAGTGCTCATTAGGTATTGATGGATTTGAAATTCGGTTTGCATGAAACTCGAATGCAGGAGAGGGTTTATCCAAGCTAGCAGATCTACAAATTTCAGCTAGGATGCTAGCACGTTCTATAGTATTACTCGGAAGCTTCAACATGTCGAAGTCAATTTCGTCTGGTACAAAAGCCAGTCCAACACTGTCTGCTTGTGCATCTACAATAAACCCCTCAAGTACAGGCATAGATTGATCAACGTCTACGAGCTTCAGGCTTAGAGTTCTTGGAGAGATATCAGAATGTTGTGCCTGTTCGTCAATTTCCCACTTGGACGATTGTATATCTTCAAGCATCGTATTGGTGAGAGTCAGATTCGCAGAACCTAAATCGTCTGTAATCTTATCAAGAGTACACAGATGCTGGCTAAGTTGTCCGTATCCAAGCTCTCTTGCATCAAAATAATTAATGCTTGAATCTGTATCACTTGTATCCTTGGTAAAACATCCTTGGGTATTTACAGATTCCTTATCCACACTTGAGACAAGGGCTGCCCCTAATGGCTCATTATTGACAACAGATGACGAATTGTTGTGTTCATTCTTCTCCTCGTAACAAAATCCAACCTGAATATGAAAGGCAAAGAACACCTAAGCTCAAAGAAATTATATTTAAAGGTGAGTCATACCAAACATCATGACACTTGTTAGCCATGACAGGTGAAAGGGTGAGTGAAAATCCCCCCATATCTTAAATTTTGATTATTCAAGTACGTATCCTTGACTTTGAACCTACCTCATTAAGTTACAAATTTATTACATTATGACAGAAAATCCAGCAAACAAGCAGGATAAGATCCAAATAAATTAATACGTATTAGTCAATCCTTATTTATGTCATGTACATTAAGGAAATGAAGCGCCAACATACAGCAATAAGAGTACAAACAATGGTGGATAAACAAACAGAAGTATATAACCTTAATCTCATTCAACACTGTCAAGGAAACCAAGAAAAATGCAAAAACTGTATAAAAAATTAACAAAGTATATTTGAAGAAGCAAAGAATCCCGTTGCATATGTGCAGTGAAAGTTTAAGTAACGCCTATAAAACACTCAAAATAAACCATTGAGTTAAGTCAAATGAAAAAGAAAAAGAAAAGAAAAGAACATGCCTTTCCATTTTCAGATGAAAATGCAGATTCAATCCGTTCCTCCACATTAGAAACCATCACAGGTGGGATTTCAATGTCGGTAAGTCTATCAGCATGAAATGCGTCCACGACAGAGTCTAGGTTTGTTTCAATGATTCCGAAATCTGTACTGGAGCTTTGAGTTTTATGGGGCTTCCTCAACTTAAATGTGGAAGAGGTTAAATTATGAGTTTTTTTATGTTCAAGTTTTCTCCTCTTTGGTTGTGGCCATGATTCCACTTTGGCATGTTTGAATCTTCTCTCAGGTGATGAACTTTCACCACATGGTGTGTTTGTTCCATATGTAACACATCCATTATCTCCGAAAGGTGAATCTCTATGTTGGCTACAAAGCCTACCTTCAAGACATGAACAACTTTGGGACTGCTGTGCAGGGAATTGTTTTATTGTTTCAAGAACACCACAGATTTCATTTAGGGTGCCTACAGTACCCATCATGGAATCACAGGACTCTGCTACTGGCTTTTCTCCTGAAACATAAGCATGTGAAACCGTAAATTTTTTACTTTCTGGAGTACTTGACACCAATTGACTCTGATCCATTGGTGCAATGAGGTTTCCACTTCCTGCAGCACTAAATCTCAATTGATTCTTATCCTTTGAAGCCTTCAAATCTTCCCTTCCTGGAGCACTTGACACTAGTTGACTCTCGGCATTTCTCTCGCCACTCCAATCCTCCTATTGCAGGTAGAACACAGAGACCAAGGAAATATGAACATTTACAACTGGATAAAGTTCCTCAATGAACACACTATTCCTATAACTATTGACAATTAAACGCATAGCAATGAAATACTTCAATTCAATAAATACCGCAAACAGCTATTTAACTCAAATCTTGAACTGGTTTCAAGGGGGTAAGAGAATAAAATTGACTTATAGCAAACTATAAAATCTCAAACAACAGCTCCAGGAAAGAGAGCAAAAGATTAGCCATTAGTGTGATAGATAATATTGATCAGCAATCCATTTTTATACCTAACACAATACTCTCTTGATTTATTATCAGTATGAGTTTGTTAACAGTGTCACAATCCACGAAATCAGACACAGATAAAACAAAGAATTTATGAAAAAACATACTAGCACTATGGTGTGTCTTCTTTCTTACAAGGAGTTGGCAACTTTTGTAATTACCAGCTTTCATAAACCAATGTCAGTCCTCAAATATGAGATGGCCGAGGAGAAATATTGATAAAGTGTCCTTAATTTGTGTATCTAATATAAAAATGTTCACAGAAATTTTCGTAGTCTAAGGTATGGTCTAAGGTATGTAACTTTTCCTAAATCTTTCCCATTCTGTTGTATCCAATAAAGTGAGGCATGTTAAGCCGGAATGGGAACAAAAGATTGTAGCTAAGATGTAAAAAGTAACAACAATTCAACATAGGATCACGTACCTCCTTTGCATCAGAAACCTCTTCGTCAGATTTCCCACTCAATGGCACAAGAATGCCATCATCAGCATTAACAGAGTCGGAATGGATTTCTACATCAGAAGCCTCCGTGGGGAAGGCATTTTGTTGGTCAGAACTACAAGGCAGATCATCACCCTTTGCTTTGTGTCTCTGGCAATCTCCAGATATTGATTCTTGGGTGTCGCAGCCTTCATTAAGGACCTTAGGAAGGTTAAGCGGTGATCCATAAACAGACAGTGTGGGTGAATTATCCCCAGAATCCATCAATACAGAGTCTATTCTATGATAATTGTTAGAAGAAATATCAGCTTTTGAAGAATCACGACTACGGCTCTGACATTTGCTAGAAATACTGGATTTAGAAATTCTACCAGCAAAAAGATTGATGCTTTTATCATTGCTGAGACAATCTGCACCATGCATTTTCTTGTCTCCACTGTTTTGAATCTTTTGATGATAGACAATAGATGAACCGGTTGACTTTGGCTTCTTATTAACATAATCATGAGCCACCCCAGAATCACAAATATGCATAGACTGCATTTTTCTTTCTTCAGAAGTAGGAGGGAAAGTGTGGACTTTGAAAATCTCAGATAAGCCACCATAATCAAGAAGATTAGAAGATTTGGGCGGTGACCCATAAACAGCCCGTGGGGGTAAATCGTCTTTGGATTCCATCGTTAAAGTTGTCATTCTCTGATTATAATCAGAAGAATTTTCAGCGTTTGAAGAATCAGGACCACGGCCTTGACATTTGCTAGAAATACTAGATCTAGAAATTTTACCAGCAAGAAAATTGCTCCTATCACCGCTGAGACAATCTGCACCATCCACTTTCTTATCTCCAGGGTTTTGACAATAGACAGTAGATGGACCAGCTGATTTTGCTTCATTAATAGAATCATCAGCCTTCTCAGAATCAGATATATGCATAGGCTTCATTCTCCTTACTTCAGAAATATGACAGGAGGCACCATCTTTGGAAATCTCAGATGAGCAGCCTAATGCTAGAGAATCTCTTTCTAAATCTGGAACTTTGAGGTTGTTTCTTGACCTAGTAATTCTGCCTGAGTATGTATTATTCTCCTTTATGCTTCTTGGGCTACCAGCGTTGTCCAAATTCCAATCAGCACGACTCTGACAACCAGTGACACACTGTTCCACAAATTTGGATTGTTTGTCAGTCTGGCCTGCCTTGTTTGTAGCAGAAAGAGAAAATAAAATCTTGCCAGATACATCATTCCTGATATTCTCATTGCTTCTGCCACTCGCGTTGAAGGCCTTTGCACTTTCTCGAAGCTGAAGAGCTTTTTGTCTCGACTTAGATCTCTGGATTCGAGCTAGTGACTGATCTGGCTCATTATAGATATTCAAAATCCTCTCATCCATCTGATCCTCAGGTGAGGTAACACTAACTTCTGGCTCAGGAACACCATCGAGCGCACATCCAGCTGGTTCCTCACTGCTCAATGGGCGCCTTGTTGAATGATCTTGCTCTTTGACACCTTCCCCAAAAACCAGATTTCCCATGAAGACTCCAGCAGAAATATTTTCAGTATCTCCTGTGACAACTAGGTTATCATACCCAGGATGGTATGGGATGGAGCAACTGGCTAAAGGAGGCCTTGGATATGGGCGTAGAAGTTTAGAGATCAACTCTTCTTTGTTTAGCTCTGGAATTACACAAAAACAATAGAAACTGATTGGCAAATCCCAAGAAACTAATGGTTTTTTCCATTGTAAAATCGAGAGAGAGAGAGAGAGAGAGAGAGAGAGAGAGAGAGAGTTCATACTGCATTCACCAATTAACTTAAGGCTATATCACAGCACAAATTGGTCATGATAACAAAAAACTGAAAAAAAAAAAAATCCATTTACTCAATATGTGCTGAAAACTCAAAAGACAGATGATTAGTAGAACATAAACTCACACGATGGAAAAAATAATCAATTTCAATTCCACGAAAAACTAAATTCAGCTCCTCAGATGGAAGTACCCAATGCAAAAGAAAAATTGACAATTATGTGAAATCCAGAATCAAGCTACAGATGTTATTTTTTTTGCATTAGATTGAAACAAAACAAAAACTACTCAAAATTAATCCAATAAATGAACCCGAATCTGAATAATAAATCGAACAGAGCCATAAAAATCAACAACATATCAAGAATACCATTTGAATCCGAAGAGGCGTTAGGGCTCCAGAGCCAGGAGGGAGGTGTGATTCCATCAATGATGAGTTTGGAGGCGAGGTGCTGGCTGTACAATTCCGTCTGTTGCTTCACATGTTCGATTATCGAATTCTTGCGCTCGAATATCTGCACCAACAGCTTCTCCACCGTCGTCATCTTTCACCCCAAGCCGTATGGTTAGAAACACTTCATCGGCCTACGACGCAAAACCCCACTCGAATGGGCATTCGTCGGAAGATTCTCAGATGGGAAAGACACTGATTTCTGAATGTGTGTGTGTTGTGTGTGTGTGTGTGTGAGAGAGAGAGAGAGAGAGGCCGGCGAATTTACGGTGGAGATCATATGACGTCTAGCGCGGAGAGGAATTTCAAATTTTTGGGATGAACTTTGGAGGATAACACAACGTTGAGATGGGACTGTAAAACGGAATAATATTATTGGAGGCGGGGCGGATCGGGGCGAACCTGATCCGGTGCCCATGTACTTTCGTTTGTAAAGGTGGGCCGGGTGGTGCTAAGATTAAAAACGGAAAACTTACCCACACCACGATTAGCGAGTGTATTCGTTTGAAATTTTTAATAAAATTTTAATACTTTAAAAATTGGGTTGTATTTAATTTAAAGATTTTAAGCATTTTTAACACTTTTAAAAGTATGAGGTATTTATTTGAAATTTTAAAAAGTCTCACAAAATTCTGAGAAATTTAACTTATTTGAAACTAAAATTTGTTAAAAAATTTTAGACTTGTTGGGTTTCAAAAGAAAAAATGCGTACAAAATTTCACTCCAAATTCTATTTCTGGATTTAAAATTTCACAATATTTTTCCTAAATGCTAAATTCTCAAAAAGTCTCAAATTTCAAAGTCTCAAATTGTCACTCGAATCTCAAGCAAATTCAATCTAATTTTATTTTTTCCATTCCATTTATTTTTTAGTCTCTTTTTTTTTTCAAAACGATAAATAATATTATAAATCAAAATGCACAAATGTACAAATACACAGCAGCCAAAAGCTGAAAAAGTGGGAGAACAGGTCAGAAAACCGCCTAGAATCCCGACTAGCAACGTTAGAATAAAAACACCCGCAACTAAAATAACCAACTACACGACTACCAAACACAAACTAAAACTAAACAAACTAAAAAGACCCCAACAGGGTAATGCCCGAGTGTGGGATCTCAACGGGAAAATAAGATCACACTCGGGTAAACCGAGGCCAACAGCCCAAACCTAAAATACAAATACAAACACAGATACAAAAACAGACACAAAACATGAATAAGAAAACCTACACTACTTACGAGTAAGGCCCTTCCCCAGCGAAATGCTAAAACCGACCCAAAGCACCAGCGAAAAAAGACTAACATCCTACAGCTTGAC